CCCTCTGCATCTTCCTCATAAGCTCTCAGAAGTTCTGCCACATGCACGTCTGATTTGAGTCTATGATAACAACAGCACTTTATAGCACTTCCACTGCTAAGAGCATGGCAAAAATGCAAATTAAATCCATCTCCACTCAACTGTATAAAGAAAAGAAAAATTTAAATGATGGTTTTCTCAGTAGCCCCCAGCAAGTTTCCTTTGGATTTAACTGCCACTTAGGCATTGATGCACCACTGCTCGGTGCATTTCAATGTTATATTTCCTCCTGTGGTTCCACTTGCTGAATGTATTAAGATTCTGCAAAAAAAATGTTACATCTCTCATTGCTGGTGATCTTTGTGTCTCAGTATCAACTCCAGATAACTTGGGAAACATCACAGCTTTAGTCAAGTGTGTCAGTGTGCACAAGCAGGGGAAGGAAGAGGCACAGACCTCGATGAAATGACTGCTTACGCTTGCTGCTGACACACATCAGTGCTTTCACCAGTGATAAATCATTACATCAATAAAAACATCATTAAACTGCTGACTCTGCTTTGCCCTGATTAGAACACGTCACACTTTAGATGCTGTCATCTCAGACACGGGGTTCACTTCACTACAGCAGCGATGTGCTCGCCCAAGCCCTGCTGTCTAAAATAGATATTAAACCTGATGTGCTGCCTTCGTGTTAGAAAATAAAGATGGTGTTAGAACAACTACTTAGTTCTCAAGGACAGTAATTGCAATGATAGCTTCAAAAATAATATTGCAACTCCATGGTGAATGGATTTCAAAAGTTATGCAGCACAAGGGTAAGTCTGACTAAGTATTTGGTTTTAGTGAAACAAAATCTTCATTAATATCTAATTACTGCTTAATACGACAGCTTTGATCAGTATTTGGAAAATATATCCAGAACTGACAGCCTGAGCTAGGATCTCTGAGCACTGGCATTCCCATATACTCTGTTGAAGGAATGTCTGAGATAGTAAAATTATGGAGAGATTTAACTAAGGGTTATAACTTGCTAATGCTTTTCCAAAAAAAGAAACAGTATGTGCTGCTGTAGCAACACTTCAGCAAGTTACTCCTTACATGCAAAGGCTGAAATCCTCACCTCTGCTTTGATTTCTGTGCTTAAAGCAGAGGGTAAAGGAGCACAAACCCGCTCTAGAAACCCCAGCTACAGCAAGGGTGGAACTTTGCTACCCGCACTGGCATGTAAAATAGCCATCAGGTATTGCTTTCAGTTCCTGGTGGGATTGTCTGCACAAAATACCAGGGTGACAGGCAGAAAAGATAAAATTCAGATGAGGCAGGAGAGCCATGAGTTTGAACAGCCACAGGAAACTACTTCAGATGGGAAGGACAGGGCAGGGAGAGGAGCCATTTAAAGCCCCATTTATCCGATCTCTGCATAAATTGCTCTTGGCAGAAGATTGCAGAATCCCTTGCAATAACAAGAAAATATCCTGGTCCTGTTAGTGATTTTAACATGAAAGGCTCCTTTGCCTTGCTTTTAGAAACAGACTAATTAAAAGTTTCCTAGAGCAGTGACTTTGTGACCACAGAACTCTGCACCAGGCAGTGCCTCCCAGAGTTCTGGCAAAAGGCACCAGCCCAGCTCAGTCCCACAAATGTCATTACACACAAAAACATCCCAGCCTTGCTTGCATGTAGCATGCACAGGTCTGTGCTCACACAGGATTTCTGTTTTAAGAACATTTAGAAGTTGGGGGTAAAGGTGTCATTTCAGAGGTGACGACTGAAAGCCAGTCAAGGTCCAGCTTTGTGATCTGTGGCAAACACCCTCCAAGATGCTGAGAGATTGTGTGACCTGGCCTAAACTAGCTGAGTTTAGCTTGGCAGAAGCTTTTGATGAACTTTTTAGTGAAACAGAGAAATTACAATTGGATTTGAGCATCTGTCAAATCCAGACTTGCTGCATGAGGCTAAGCTGAATATATTGCGTCTGCATGGAAATCAAAGAAAGTTAGCTGAGTTTTATAAGTAGTGTGTATAAATATTTTAAATATTTGAATAGATGAATAAACATGATGAATAATCTTTAGTGGGGTCGTGGAAATGACACAAATTCAACATAGTTATACTACAATTTATGAGGCTGACCTACAGTAGTTATTCCAAAATTTTTGTCACACAGTACTTTCATTAATGAGAAATCATTGTATCAATAAAAATAAAACGAGCACAAATAAGAGATCATCTCTGTAGGCACCTTGGTGTCCATCTCCAGTTGTACTGGAGCACATGACAACTTGCATTTTTATCCTGTACCCACAAGTTCTTGGTCAAAACTGCAAAGAAATATATCTGAGTAAAACAATTATTTTTAGACACTGCTGCTAAAATACAGTTCAATCTTCATTAATTAATTATAATTAAACAGGCACCCCACATGCTGCAAAGTGTGGCAGTCTAACCACAGTAACAAACATTGCTTCAGGTGGAGCTCCATGCAGAGGGATCTCTTCCCGTAGCTAAATTTGCTCTGGGATCTCTGCAATAAACTGAAGGCTACAATCAGGCAGCCTATGACTCATGCAATGCAGCATTTCTAATGTCTTTTATGTGCAGAAATGAAAATAAAAGCAGATCTCTTGTTCCCAGAGCCCTGGAGGGGGGAGCCCTCACGACTCACAGTGTTTTACAGACCCTTGGTCACTGAAGGGCCGACTGACACCCACGGCTGCAGAGCCTGTGGCAAAGGGAGTGGGAAACAAACAGCACTTCTTAACTCAAGTGTTTTATTCAAGCTGCAACCCCTCACAGCAGACACATTTCATAACTTCTAGATCTATGTTCACACAAAGATTGACAGAAAAAGCCAGCCTTGAAAGAAAACATGAAATCTTTTTAATGTTTATTTTTCCATGAAAAAGCTTTACAAGGAGAAAGAGGCTGCACAGGAGAAAGAGTACATTCTTTAATCACTGTTTATCTGTTGGTTTGATAGCCAAGGCTGACATTTCTTCTACAGTGTATTTATTTGTTCTCATAATATTACAGGACATTTACCCTTTATTTAAAAAGGATCATCATCTATGAATATTGTTAAGAAGAGTGAAGAATTAACTCAACCTAGATCAGCTGTAGATGCTTTCATTTTAATTCTTCTCATATTTTGGAACAAATGTAAACCACAATTTTAAAAATTCAGATATGTGAAAGGCTTTGCATCAAATGTAATGGAGAAACAAAGGTTTAGTGTCTCAAAGAACAGACAAAATTTTCCAATGCCTAAAACACACCACTAAAATTCTCAAGGAAGAAAATGAAACTCCTGTCTTTCCCCTTAAACCACCTGGAGACATTTTCTAAGGTGTTAAGTGCTGAAATGTGAATTTCCTCACTAGCATTGTACTGCTGGGCTTTTCAGATACCCCAGCAGCAGAACCTAAATAAGTTACAGGTTTTCAGTGAGATAACCTGACCCTTCTTGACTGCCCCCCTACACACAACCTTCTGCTGTGTAAAGCATCTTTGCTGATCTGTAGAACAGATGAAAACAACTCCAAAGCAAAGACCAGCTCTCCACCCCTCAAATACCAAGAGGCATCACCTCTGCCCCTTTAGATCAGTGCATGTTTCGCCTTCCATCTCGCTCAAACCACAATTCCAGCAAGCTGTTTGAAGTCTCCCTACCACATTTGTTCTGGAGTGTACAAAAGAGGTAACAATAGCTTCAGAAGTAAGCTCAAAAGATTGAGAAACAACCTGTTCTGAAGTATTTTGTAAGAAATGGAGTTTGACAAATAAGCACCTTACTTTCAAATTAATTCAATAACATGATGGAGAAGGAAAACTCTTCACAGTTTCAGAATTAGTAGAATTAAATCCTTCTGAAGCCTGCAAACCATGAAGGTTAAATACCTTATTTCAATCAGTACTCCACTATTTCTGTAAAGAAACACTTTCAAGTATTGTTACAAAAGGCACTGATTTTTTTCTTCAGCCATCAAGATGTAATAAAAACACAGAATTTCTGTCACATTGGCCAAACTCTTGGCCCTAAAGATATTTGCCACTAACCTTGGAGCACCTGGATTTCACCCAGCCACTGTTCAACCACTACCTTCTTTTTCTTTATTGATTTTCTTACAAAAATCACATAGATCCATCACAGGTTTAATGATACAATGATTAATGGTACATTAATGGTAATGACAGAGAGGAGAACATCTTAGTTGTTCTAGTGCTATTTTAAAAGTGAAAATGGACACTTCTAAAGCTAAATATTCAATAGATAAAATATTTAGCAATTTGTTTCCCCACTTTAATATCAATTAATTTTTAAAATCTGGAAACCAGATTTGGACATCTGATTCAAGCAACTCTCAGGACAGATTCCTTGAATGTATAAACCTGGTATTTCAGTTTAATCAAAAGTTTGGAAAATAGGCTTCTTTTTTTTTTTTTTTTTCCAATGGATTTAAAATCAAATTGGGAATTGCTGTTTTGCTTTCTATGAAGTCTGACAATGGCCAGATGGGTTGAATTTCTCAATCTGTAGTCAAAATGGGAAAGAATACACTGTGGAATATCTCCTGAGGCATGCTGAGTACAGAGCATTAAGTTAAGGCAGATGTACGAACAGGTTTTCTTCAAATGGGATTTCTTTAGCTCAAAATTGTCAATGTTTCAAAGGAACTAGGCAAGACTTACAAAATATTTGCAATTCTTTGGTTAGCCCTAGAGCCTGCAATTGGACAGAATTCCTTGGTATGCTTGAAAGCAAAGGACCACCAAAGAGGTAAATGAAGCAATATTTAATTATAGCTACACAGACATTCCTCTACTCATACCCAAGGCTCCCAGCTTCTCATCTGCAGTAGGAGTGCATTACCTGACAATAATTAAACAACCTGCAACAAGACAGCAAATTACATAACAGCTAAAATATTTAACCTATAGCAGCTAAAGTATTTAATCTTTAGCATCAACGTTTCCTGAAACCAAGAGCCATCAGAATTTCTGCACAGGCAACTCGAAACCAAGAGCCATCAGAATTTCTGCACAGGCAACTCAAGTTTGATGGGATGCTCTGAGACAGCTACCAATAACTTCAGGACCTCAGTGGACAGGGCCAGAGGTAAAACTCCTAACAGTAGCTGCATGAGTGCAAAGCTTGATAAAGCAGACCTGAGGACATCATCTTACTCTAATGCTATCTAGAATTACTTGCTGTTTTCATCCCCATCCCTGAAGCAGGGGAGGGGCAAGGAGCTGGTGGAGGGAGTTACTCCTGCTTGGATCCCTCCACGGTAGCAAGATATGGGCTGCATATGTTCACTGTAGAAACTACAGGAGGAAAGGACAGACCAAAAAACCCAGCTAAAATCCCCCACAATTATATGACAAAGAAACTAAGATAAACTTGGAAACTCAATCATAGGTGTGATGAGTCCTGTACAGGAATGAATCCTAATCCTAAATGAGAGTAGTGACTTTATCTATAAAAGTACAAAAACTATAAAATATAGATCAGCTGCTTCTAACGGAAGACAGTAGTCAGATTTGGTTACATGAACATAATGGAATGTAATATACTAGACTATTGTTTTCAAATTAATGATCTCTTGTTGAATGCAAAAACAGATGTTGTGATTTAATTAAAAAATAGCCAGGTCTCACATTTTCAAAAATTACCTCCATTGTCACCATTCCTATACTTTGTTTGCTTGGGACAGAGAAAAGCTCTAATCCCTGACAAACCAACTTCAATAAAAATTGTAATGATAAATTCTGAATACTAAATGTTGGCTAATATAAATCAGTAATATTAACTGATTATATGAGCAAGTGACCTGGCAGATTTCAGTGGAGAATTTCTGGGGGTGACTGATGAGCTGCCGTGTGTGGAAAATTCTCCTTAGGTAGCACAACTGCAGCCTGGAGAACACAACGTGTCACAGCACATCTCACACATTCTACAACAAAGAAAATTTAATTTTGAGTTCACACTTCTGTGGGAGTATAGCCTCAATGTGTCTTTGAGGTAAGTCAATGAATACCAGTGATTTAAAAAATTACAGATCTTAAGAATGTACATAAATCTCTGTTATTGTCTGCTAAACTAAAACTATTTAAAACAAAATCTATCACTCATAACTCTACAAAGTCAGACATTTAAAGCTTCCATGTACATAGAAAACTTTTTTAGGAAACAAAAATTCAAGACAATTTGTGGTCAATAATACCTCTATCTTTGCTAAAATAAATAGTCAATAATTAAAGGAACGAAAGGACATAGCCCTACATAAGAAGGAAAGTCTCTTCATTTTCATCATCCCCCTCTGCTGAGCAAGAGGAAAGGAATAATTTTTTTTGATGTTCTCTCAACAAAACAGTTTTACCCATGGTTTCAATTACATTATTTTCCTATTTAAATAAAATCAGTGCATTAAGAATATATACAATATACTGGAAGCCATATGCACCTTTTCTCAGGATAAGCAGATAAGGCATTTACCTGATGCTATAAAACTACTTCCTCATGTTTACTCACCTGGTCTGTACTTGCTTGGTACCACACTACCACAGCATTATACCAACATAATGCTCTACAGGTGGGAGATAGGAGAGGCCAAACACAAACTGAAGAACTGCATCTAATAGAAAAGCTTAAAATTATATAAGAATCTAACACAAAAAGAAATCAACTAAAAATATATGCATAAAATATGTGCCCATCAATAGGTTCACACAGTCATCATCCCTACCCTTCCTTCAACAGAAGGGAGCAAACTACAGAAAAATATTACTGGATTCAAACAACATGAAAGAGCTATTAAAACAAACTATCCTCCCTCTTCAAAACCACATTATCTTTTTTCTAGTCTAATAAAAAATATTATACTGCAATTGAATAGAATTATTAAAAACATCTCATGGAACTATTAATACATCCATTCAAAACCAAAAGCTGTCCCAGAAATGCAAACACTACAACTAAAAAACTTTAAATGCCACTGAACTTGTTTCCATTTTACAAATCAACCATGACCAATACTCTTTAGAGACTTGCTATAGTCTTTTAATGCTTCATTAAGGTCTGCTGCAAAACCTGTTAAAGCCAGTACGAAAAGGCCTTGAATTGCAAACTTTTACTGTGAGACACAAATCTGGGAGTGCTAAGCCATTCCAATCTGCTTAGAATATTTGTATCAGGGAACATAAAAAAACTTAGCTCCCATACAAAGAGGTAGCTATCATCAATATATCTGACTTTTTTTTTAATAGAATAATAACATTTCTTTTTTTTCTGCATCATATTTGGAAGATACTTTCTGGTACTTAGATTAATTTCTTGTAGTTTGTACATCCTATTCAGTTTGCCTGTCTGGTGAAATTTATGGCACTTGTTGCTTTACTGTAAGAGCAGCTTGTAAACCCCAGAGGAAGAAATGGAAATAGTATCCCTAAATATCATAAGCTCTAAAAAAAAAAACCCTGTGCTTTTCTAATCACAGAACATTCAAATATCTGTACACTCCAACTGAAACAGAAGTAGTGACTCTGGGAATGTGCATCCGTATTTCTTGGACAAACAAAACTTTATGTTAGACTATAAGATTAAAGGCCAATCACACTGAACACAGAGACTGAAGACAGAGAGCAAGGAGAGAATGTTTAGATAGAAAATGTAACTACAATATTGTAATTAAACATTATACACTTTAGTTAAATAATGTGAGGAATACAGTCTTTCCCCTACAGCAATACATTAATTGAAAGTGTCAGTAACAAAACAGATTTTTGATTTTTTTCTTTAAATATTGGAATATAGGCAGAATTTGATGACCTGATCCAAATGAAATAGAAAAATATAATGTCATTCTAGCTGAAAGTTTGAGTTGGGGTTGTTCAGCCTGGAGAGACCTTCTAGCATCTTCCAGGACCTGAAGGAGCTACACGGGCTGGACAGAGACTTTTAACAAAGGCATATAGGGATAGGACCAGGGGAATGGCTTCAAACTGAAAAGATTTGATATAGGGAAGAATTTCTTTCCTGTGAGGGTGCTCAGACACTGGCACAGGCTGCCCAGAGAAGCTGGAGATGCCAGATCCCTGAAAGTGTTCACAATCAGGCTGGGTGCAGCTCTGAATAACCTGCTCTAGTGGAAGGTCTCCCTGTCCACAGCAGGGGGTTGGAACAAAATGGCTTCAGTCCCCTTCCAACACAAACCATTCTATGATGGGACAAAAAGATCCACCTGATGAATTACACATTCAAGGTAACTATGACAGTTTGGTTCGTTATTCTGAACTTCTGTACCTAATGCTTGTTTTTTTTCAGAGAGCAACAGAAAATCTGCAGGCTGTCTAGAAGCTGATTGAAGGTTTCCTGGCTACTATCCAAAGGTAAACAGACAAACAAAAAATTGTGAAAGACTGAATTTTACTAAAGTGTAAAAAATAATAAATGCCCAAATTAGTTTCTTTATCTTCATCCTTCCAACAGCATTTGCCATCTGTGAACAAAGAAGCAAAGCTTTTTCAGTCTTCAAAATGGCATGTGGGAATTGAGAGGCTTACACAAAGGGGCTGAAACAGTAAATTAGAAAAGTTGCTTGAAAACCAAACATAAGAAAAATAACATTTCAGCCCTTGCTCTACTGACAGGTGAGATAACAACCATTTCTGGTGCCACAAAGAACTCTCAGCTAGACTGGCATTTCAATGGAAGGAAGAACCACACCAGTCCATATGGTTTCCTTAAACAAAAGCATCTCAGGTTCATGACCAACATTTCAGTCAGCCCTTAAGTAAAAAAAAGCAACAACTGACAGCGGGGATTTACTAACAGGTGTCAGGAGTAATTGTTTTAGAAAAAACTATATAAAAAAATTATTTCACTACTGCACTTCCTAATATGTGTGACAATACTACCCTTCAACTTAAAATCTTTTCAGAACTGATCATCATGACCAGAGCACAGGGCCTAACCCAATTATGACGGAAACTCTTCCAGCTCAAGTAATAAACTTGCACCACTACTATCACCCTGCCCCTACTTATTATGGCAAATGGAGGGCATTTTATTTGCAAAACACTTAACCACCAAGGACAGAGTTTTGCAAGAGAGTTTTAAAGCGTCTTACTCAAAGATTAGGTTACCAGTGTGCCAGCAAAAGATCAGAAGCTCTAAACATAAATGTTAATAATCCATTATCAAGTATACAATTCTGGTTCAGTGGCCATTATAACAAATCCAAGGACTAACAGTGACTTCAAAAGACTCTGAATCAGACTTCAAGAGTGTAATATTCTTCATAATATTACGTATATGTAAGACAGAAGTCTTCAGAATAGTCTTTGCAGAGAAATAAAATAGGAGTGAATCACTCTGCTTGAAATGGTTGACATTTAATTTTTGCAGTGTAGATATTCAACTATTACCTACCACTTTCTATAAAACGTAAATTGTTATGTATCAGAAAAACTCCAGCATAGCTTTGTGGTGGTTATTTTATATACATATACACATTGCAGAGAGGCACATTCTTTGTTAAAAATCACCATGAAATTCTTCTGCAGGATCTTGAATGCTTCCTTTCACAGAAAATTTCCCATGAACCTTTGTTCTTCATGTAAGGCTGTCAATGTTGAGTTAAAGCAAAATATTCAGCTTCCATAAAACTAGAGCTGCACCTAGTTTAAGTTGTATTTTCAAAATAGTCTCATTACAGAAGCATAAGAATAAGCAAGATACTTCTTTTATAGACGGGAGAAAGAAACTTCCTTTTGACATTCTATTAAAATGTAATAAGGGCACAAAAGGAATTTTGAAATGTCCAAAATTATCTGCTATTACACCACTTACAGTGCAAAGATCTTACAGTAACATTACAAAGTAACACCAGCTCTTTCAAATGGACTCTAAAAATTGTTGCTCACTTCTTAAGAGTGGCAGACATCCAGTATGTTCACACTTGGCAAGAGTCTACAGTATTACAAAGTTATTGCTGCTACTGTTATGTAAAGAAATGAGGTTGTGATGATAAATTTTCCCATTAGACTGTAGGGAAAACTACTTCATTTTACCAAGCATATTATTTCTTAGCATTGTCATAAGCTCCAGAAAAAAACAGAGCGAATTTATCTATTTGTACTTTCTCCCATAGAAATGGTGGATAGCAAAATGAAGTGTGAAATCAGCTGGCTTTGTGTTAGTTAGTTACAAAGGTGTGTATCAGTTCCACTTGAGCTGAGCTGCCTTGGTCTGTGCCAGTGACCTGCAAGGGCTGGCTGAAGGAGACTCCTGCCATCATACAGGCACTGCTACCTTTGCTGCAGTAGTAGAGGCACGCTTTGATGGCCAGGGTGGCTTCAGCTGACACACAGCTCCCAGGCAACTGAAAAGGAATGACAGTTTGACAGGAAACATCCTTTATTTCTCCTGTCAGACACTGTTCTTGCAGCAACCAGGTGTTATCTGCAAAAGAAGAACAGATTTTATCATTAGGGTATTTAACACCATGTCTGAAAGCTACAGAAAACACTAATTCTACCTGTAGGACAAGAAGGACTTTCCACATGCAACATTAGAGGAAAATTCCTTCCTGATTTTTCCAGATGTGAACAGAAAAAAACCAAAAAAAAAGGGAAGTAATTTACAAATGCTTTATCAGTCATTTAAAGAAGGAGAGATCCATGGCTTTGCTTCAGAACTATAGGTGTATCTATACAGTACATCTTATTTAAATGCAATGGAACTGCAATTACTCCTATACACTCTTTAAAGGATATTAACATTTATTCTGATATGCACAAGCAAAACTTCTCAAATTAATGACTACTATACATTAGCATCAGAGATCTAAAACACCAGGTATGATATCTGCCATAAATTCATTAAACTGTAGGTAAAATGATGGCATTTCCAAACAGCAGTGTTGGTTTTATAGGTGGGCTGGTGCAATTTAGCAATGCTCAGGCTGACTGTTAGAATGAAACTTTATTTAAATATCTGAGAGTATGTGAACTAAAAAATGACCTGTTCACTACACACACCTTACTCATTGCACTGAGACATGAAACAATGCAGCATATATTAATTTAAGCAGAAAACAGTCTACCAGGTGTTTGGCTTTTTGAATCTTTACACTCCAGCTGTTAAATGCATCAACTCTAAAAATCATGTACTGGATCATAAGGTCAAACAGGAACACAGGATGGGGAGGGACGTCTTGATTCATCAGACTGAGATATCTTGCACTGCAGGATGTGCTGATATCACCCTTCCCATCCTAACCAGGGACTTTACCTTCTGCTGTGATAAACCATGCACTGGGAGCTTCTTCATTCAGTTTTGAATCTGGAGGAAGAGTCAACTTTAACAAAAACTGAATTGTCTGGCCAGGAGCTACAGTTAGTGAAGGAAGTTGAACATTTGGTGCAGATTTAGGCAGTCGTGGAAGGTTTGTTATTTTATCCTTTTGCACAGGCAGGTTATCTGGAACATCACATGTTTCTGGCTTCAGGATAGGCAACTATCAGTAGAAATAAAACAAAATATGAATTTTCATTAGTACTGAAAATAAATGGGCTTTCACAACACAATCACAGTTTCAAAGTGACATCATATGGCTATTGGCCTAAAAATTTCTGACAGCATGCAACAATACTATGACAAAACAGAAAAAGGGAATAGAAAAAGGGAAAGACAAAATGTTTTCTTAAAATGAAAAAAGCCTGATTAAACCAATATAAACACAAAAAATCCCAAATAAAAGCAATATTTATTATTGAAGCCATAAAACCCACAACTACTTTATACTATCCCTTAATTTAAAATCTTTACAGTTGGATTATGTTTTTGCTTTGGATCAACTGTAAATGTATTTCTTTTTAGTTCCAGTGTTAAACTGCATGCTTCAGTAATAAAATCCAGGATTTTAACTATGCACATTGCACAGTAAAATAGAAGAGAATTTCCCAGAAAAGCCACCAACATGTTACATGATATGAAAATTTAAACACACATGGAGACTGTGTATTATTAAATTCAAGAAACATATGAGAAGATATTAGGAAGATTATGTCATAAATATATGTATATATATATTTTTTAAAAAAATAAGATAAAGTGGCATTGTAAGGTGGGCATGAGCACAGATTTGTTTATTCACAATCAAATAAAGCTGTGCTCAATTTTGACAGTGGTTTTGATTTGACAGCTTGAAAGCCCTTTATATATCTTGCTTTAAGTCACTGACCTCCCCAAATCATCTCCTACAGCTTAATTACAGGGCTTGGTAATTGATTTCACTTCCTTTTTTTACTAAGTGAAAATGCTTTTGAAATGCTTTTCATGGTGAAAACCTGGGCTGTACATTTTAATTAACCTTTTCTAGAGGGTTGCCACTTTCTGCTTTCCATGCAAAAGTTGTCTTTCTGAAGACTGAGGCTTTCAACAACTGTGCTAACAGGCAATGTTTATTTGCCTGATCATCACAAAACATCCTGTGGATACAACTATTGTACCCACAGTTAGCTGTCTCATTTTTATCACACTTGCTGAAGCCTGAAATAATAATTTATATCAAGAAACACCACTATCAGCTTGTTTAAGACGTATTACTTGCCATGGAAAGAATTTTTGTTTCCAAATCCAGCACTTTAATCTGATGATTATTTGTGTCTGCAACATACATCAGGCGGCCGTTTTCTTCAACACACAAACCTCCTGGTTCATTGAAAGCTGACTGGGTAAAGCTGGAACCAACAACATTGCCTGCTTCTCCTGTGCCTGCCAGGGTAGCACAGTTCTTCATCTTGGGATCCACAACCTTAATCTAGAATCAACAGAGGCACAGAAAGCTTCTCTGAGAAAACCCAGCCGGATTTAGATGTTCTCTATTATCTTATGTCCCACATTTCCAGTAGCCAGCACTGCTTTTTGAGTACCTCAGAATCCAGGTGTGCATCCTAGATGCTGTGTTATCACTCTTTACCAAGTGACATGTCCCATCTTCCCCCACTCCCTCATGGACTTCACTTCTTCCTTTGGTTGTCATTCAGGGTTTCCTTCCATGATTTTGGAGGTACCTAACTCTCAGCTATAAAAGTATGCTGGATGACTTGTTTTTGTAAAGCTTGCTGCCTTTCTAGAAACATTTGCAAACAGTGAGAGAATAACAGAATCGGCAAGCTAACTTCTAGATTATTTTTCTTCTGAAAATAGATGGGGTTTTTTTTAAACAGAAAAAAAGTTTATAATATTTATTCAAGGTCTGAAACAAAATATCATTTGTCTTAAAATTTCAATAAGCATTTAGTGTTAGATACCTTACTCTTCAAATCAAACAGATTACTTCTCTTTCAATGCATGTAGTCAGTGTACAGTTAAAAACCTCCTAGACATGAATGTTTATATAACATCACATTAGAATAATCATGCAAAACAATGGTTCCTATGCCAGAGGAAGCTCCATGGAGGTAACTCATAATACTTCTCAAAACTTAGATGTCTTTTTTAAGGGAAAAACAAGTCCTTTTGTCCTCTCAGTTTTATCAAACATGCAATATTCCTGAAGAAGCCCTTCTAGCTCTTTTATTGTAGTTCAGCAACTTTGGGAAGGTACACAGAAAGTCTTTAGTCTGAACTGTAACTTGGCACTTTAAATTCACCTTCCCCAAGAGACCATCATATCAACACAGAAGAATGTGACTACAAAACAATGGTAAAGAGAAGGACCAAGGAAGGAAGGAAGGAAGGAAGGAAAAAGAACCCACAAAGGAACTTGTGTAATTAATTTCCTCAGTTTAACAGGACCAAGCAAAATCTGTCTATGTTACTAAAATAATTCTTTGTAATAATAAAAATTTTCAAATCTGTATATAACAAGTTACTGTACACCTACCTTATGATTATAGGAATCTGCCACATAGAGCAGCTTTCTTTTCTTGTCCCATGTTACTCCCAAGGGATGCTGCAGCTTTGCATTTATGCCTGCTCCATCCACATCACCAAAAGCAAACAAATTCTGAAAAATTATTTTATTTAATTAATAGATTTGATTATTCAATGTGGACATGAATTTAAATTATTTCAATTAAATGGAAATTAACTGACTTAAAAAAAAATCAAGATAATTTCAAAACAAGGATACTGAAACCTGGAAGCGTGGATCCTAACCACAGAAACAGAAACTCTCACATCTAAGTTACAAATATGAATCCAGCTGATTTAATGACCACACAATGCTCAATCAAATTGGCTATTTTAAGAATAAGTGAAGAATAAGTGAATTTCTTATTTAAGGAGCAACAGTCTGCACTACAACCTGAGCATCACAACTGCCACACATTTGCATTCCAAGCAGTGAAGTTAAGAAATTGATGGCCATGGAAACTGATTTACCCTCTCACCCCAAAAGTGGTTCCTCCAGGTCAGGCTTGAGGAATATTAGTAAGGCAGTGTGGGGAAGTTTGAGGTGATTACCAATGGGTCTCTCTCTCCTCCTACAAGGTGCTTCACTGCCCCGTCCTTGAGCGAGATGGTTCGCACGGTGCTGCTCTCGCTGTCGGCCACGAACAGGCAGTTCCAGGGCTCCTCTGGGGCCAGGGAGAGCCCCGAGGGCTGGGCAAACCCTGCCTTGTGTGGGTAAGCGTTGTTCCTGTTCTCCTCGTTCCCACTCCCAGCAAAGCGCAGGCAGACTCCTTTCTTTAAGTCACTAAAGGCAAATAGCACGCAATTTCAATCAGAAATTTGAAACAGCTCAGACAAGATGCATAAACAGAAGCTACAGAACAGGCACTTATGAGTTATAAAACCAACCTGAATACAGCAGTGAGGAATTACTCAATGCCTTTGTGCTAACTTTTGTATCACCTCAGCACATGATTCATTACTAGGTAACTCAGCAAATGCAAGGAAAAGTAACATTCAATTATATGAATGAACTTTACCAAGTCATAGCTGTATAGCTAAAATAGCATCTTTCATTTCATCTAACACATGTGGGAAAAGGAGGCAGACTTTTAAGCATATAAACCTTTAAACTAAATAATTTTGAGTTTAATTTGATTGTCTCTCTCTTTGGGATTTGAAAGCTGTTTATCAAGACAAGCAGCAATTTCACATTTCCCTTAGTCCAGTTGCTTACCTTCCCTTTGGTAGTTTTCCACCTTCCAGCATCAGTGCCCATATCTGATGAATGCCTGCCATTGCTATCCATAACACATCATCTTCCTGTGTCCCTGAAACTTTTAGAAAGGGACACAGAAAACCAGATTAAAAAAAACCCACTTTGGAAATGTTTTATAACATGAAGAAATCATCAAACCAATCTGCTGTCCCCCCGTTCCCACTCATCTTCCCCACAGGGGAAAAAAATATAACACAAGCTAAAAAACAGAGCAAGACAGAGAGAGAGAAAAAGAGAGAAGGTCTTTCTTTTACCAAAACTTGCTATTTTTCTTCTTTTCTTGCTATTTTATTCCCAGGGGTTTAAAAATCATGGCTTTAATATCCCTATCTGATAAAGGCAATGTTTCATGTGAGATTTGCTCTTTGCAACGTTTTCTTATTGTGTCTGCTTCACATGTTTTTTTTTGATTCACACTAGCCAACAAATAAGTACCTATCTTTGCTAAGCATGGCTTTGGGGGATGCAATCTTGATTTTTTTTGCTACACAAGTGACAAAATTAGATACTCCAAAAAACTACTGGGAGTTGTTTACGGGTTTTGAAAGAAATAACCGTGGCAGTACCACTGTACACTATATACAAAGGACATCATGTTTTAAGCTAAGGGTAACTGATGCTTGCCCTGGAGAGCATCAACTGCAGTTTATTCAAGCAGTAAATGTGACCTGGGCGTTTCTGAATTTCCCCCTCAAGTAAGCACCCAGTTTCCAAGTTGTTCTCCCTTGGCATATGTAAATGTGCTGTCACAAATGCAAGATGCAGATCTGTGGAACAGTGACCTTCTGATCAAGAAGTGTTCAAGCATGTGTCAAGCAGCTATTTTTTTTCAACTTGAAGTATAGAACTACTATTCAGCAATCCAAATCTATAAATAACTACACAAATCTTGCCCAGATAATATTTCACAAAGAAAATTATACAAGTGGAAATTGAAGACAATATTTGTAGTCTATAGCTTTAAACATAATCACAGTACAGAAATAAAAAATGTCTGAAGACAGGTTGTGAAAGACAATGAAAAAACTCCCAACAACCCAAAACAAAAGAAATTTACATATCTTAGTCTTTCCTGAAAAATCTTAAGGAACAGAAAGTTAACATTCAAAAACTGCATTAAAATGAGGACAGTATTATCTTTTTAACACTGTCCCAAGTAGTTATAGACAACATCAACATGCTTTTTTCTACATAAATCTATTAGGTATTGGAATAACCATCAGCCACTCAAGAGAAAAATAATCTTCTAATTGCTCAGAGAAATTTTTTATTCACATGAACTTGTAAAACATTGTGCATCTCACAGCTGTTCCTGGAAACAATATCATGGATAATTCCATCCTCCCCACCCCCTCAAAAAAAAATAATATTTTGGTGTTTCAAACTAAAAGCAATGTTACGTGAAATGCTTGCAAGCATTTTAAATCTGACAAGTTAGTCAAAAAAATTAAATTACTACCACTCCCCCAACTGAGATCCTGCCATTCTTCTAATCCTAAATCTTTTCTACACTACACACTACAAGAGGGGAAAAGTGGAATCCTTCTTTCTCAAAAATTAATTTCCTTAAACTGTGAGCCCTCTTCAGAAAAATACTGGTATGATTTTAACAGAGCTTTTCTTCAGTATTTTCTGTTTCTTGGATCAATATACAAGTTCCCAAGACTGTTATCAAATTAACTCTGGTGACTTTTTTCTGCACCTTCCTGCGGCTCCATGTTTTTACATAAACTAGAGCTTCAAAAATGAAAGTCAAACTTGCGAAGTTCCTAAAAGTTTTTTCTTGATAAAAAAAAGGTTTGAAAATTGAGTTGCAAAACACACATTTTATAAATTACCAGAAATGCTACCTAAGTACCAACAATGCCAAAACCACTCCAGTATAAAAAATGAAAACAACATGTCCCTATCCCAATTACTTCTCGATTAGAGTTCATTTCTAAGAGATTTAAATTGAGAAAATAGATTATGAAATCATTTTGCTCTTTCCTATACAGTAACTTCTCAGCTTCAGGATTTTCTATTTCCATTATGCAGATTTTGCACTTTGAGATGTTACTATTCTAAGTACCCCAGAATGAAAACTGTTAAAATCACTGGTCTATTCAGAAAGTGAGCTTTTTTATCTTGCTATGCTATGCAATTCATTCTGAGTTATCTCAGAAAGTTCTGTTAATTATTTAATATTCACTTTATCCACCAATTAAATGAAGGAGTAAGACTTGAACTGAGTACTGTTGAAAATCTGTTCCATTCATCTATCCAGTTCCCTGATACCACAGACTGAAACTCCCCTGTGACACCTAGATGTTGAAAAATTGAAAAGGCTTCTTACTCTAATTCTGCACCCAGCAAGATGTATGAAGTATGAGACAAAAGTATCAATATTAAATTCAAATTTTACTGAATATGTAAGATTGATAGAAGATCTCTACTTCAACTAGAGAATAAGGCAGTAAAAATGGGTAAGAGCTCTCTAACTGTCATAAATTTTAACACAAATATTTTCTACCGGATGGCCACTGGAACAAAGAGAATGGATGCAAACATGGAAACAGCACAAGCTCTTTCTGAAATTCAGAGTCAGAGCTTTAATAAAAAAAATTACACAACCCCAGAAAATGAAAACAAATGCTACATAGCAAAGGTATTTTTTCACACAATAGTCCTCACATGGCTTAATGCTTTATGTTCTGATACAAATGACAGAAAAATATTTTCTTTCACGATAGAACAGTGAGGATATCACCACTGTCATCCTTGTACAGTTCTCACAGGAGAAGGGGGCCAGGAAGAGCCAGAATGCTAAAGTTATGGTAATGTCATCATTATAACAACTCCTTATCACCCATGAATGGAAAGTATTTATTTCTAAAGAATTTATAATAAAACAACACAAGAGAGCAAAGCAATTCTCTTACATTTATTCAATTAAACGCCACATTCCAACCCATCTTGTGCTGTTTTAAAAATGCAGAGTAGTTTCTCCTTATTAGGGTATGTGCTTTCTTGTCTCTGGTGTGCTCCTGAATCTGCATCTGCTATATCTGCATGTTAAGAATTCACAGTACTGTCTGTACACAGGCACATCTTTGAACAATCAGAACACTGTTGACCATTACTGGTGAGTCAATCTGAATGCACAGAATTACTTTGGCACCAGTCAGGAGCAGTATCTGTTTGAAGGGATTCCATTCCCAGGACTACCCACACTTCCAGCTTCTCTGTCTGGGACTGCATGCTTACTTCCAGACTGGGAATTAAAAGCCTGGGAATCAAAGTTACATTTTGTGGCTGGCACCACTGACATTTTCTAAATAGACTGAAGTCTGAAAATATTATTCCTGTCTACTAATTTTATCTTTGAAGAAATAAAAAGAACCAAGGAAGAAGTCTGTTGGTACACTCATCCTCTGCAAATTCTCAAGAAGCAAAAGGGGCTACACACCACACCCTGCAGTTCACAGACAGGCACATGCACAGTGAATGTATGTATCACCTGCTCTTCAGTCAGTAGAAGTTCAGCAAATTAAATGCAAATGTGACAGAAGAATAGAGAATCACTGTTCTTCAGTGAGACACAAACAGCAAAGCTCCAAAGGAATGCTTTATCAGTGAAGCCTTTACCACGTACACATCATCCTATCTGGATAACTAAAAATCAATATTCTAATTTTTTATTTTTTTTGTTTTGCTACCTGGCACTCTTTCACATAGTGTTACATCATGCAAACAGCACGACCCTTTATGAAACAAAATGCTTCTGGAATTTTCCTCCTTAGTTAACATACCTTCCTTCTCATTAAGGGGAATCCTTGGATTTAGATACCAAGGGGGTTTCATACAGCGGAGGTAAAAAGGAGCTAGAAATTATGACTGTAATGAAGTAATTTTTATTTCTTTCCCAAATTTTCTAACTCAGGTCTCCTAACTGTAATGGCAGTAAATATTTTTTAAAAAATTCCCAAGCAGAAGAGATAGTATTTGCAAACATGAAAGAACTAATTTGGACATTGTAACTACAAAAGGAGTCAAGTCTGTTTATGTGTTTTACTCATTCCTAATTAAGCACAGCAAACACACACACACACACTTGAGGGTAGTTCAGCACCATGGTCTCCCTGTACTTCCAACACCTGCATTCCACATGCAAAAGCACTTCCAGCCTCAAATGGTAACAGTTAAAAAAATGTGTCTCCTGATCCCAGCATGCCTGACAAAGCCTAAGATGCATTAAGATGGGTATTTTCAGCAGTTTTGCATCTGAAAGTAAGAACTGATATGCCAACTATTCTTTAGAAATTTGATTAGTATTTTAAGTTTCTTTTTTGGTGAACATAAATTTGATTCACAGAATCAGACTATAGTCTGTGGAGCAAAGAGAATGAGAGCCATCACTCCATGTAAAAATATAATACTTTTTTTACAGAAGACAATTTCAAGTCATGAACTTCAAAACTATTTTGACACCTCTTAGGAAGGCAACTCTGCTAATCCAACTGCTTCTTTTTTACTGCAGAAAGTAATCACTATCATTATGCATTTTGTCAAAACACAGAGAAGTCCAACTTAGAAAAGCAGCCTGTCAAACTAAATTGAGTAAGATTACTGTTGAATACTCAGTCACTACTCTCATTATATCCTTATGTCAAGACTTCAGCCTTTGTGTCACAGGCATGATTATACTAAAATATTGACATAAGTACCTCATTTCTTCAGCTGTTTCTATAATGAACATGTCAAATACTAATCAATTTTGTTACTATTACTATTCAGCAATACTCATAAACCCAAAGTAAGATGGGGTAAGGTCCTGCTTCACTGCAATCCTGACCTGTAACTTCCCAATTTCTTATTTCTCTCTTATTTTTTACCTAAACCAGTTCTTACATAGGAATAAAACCTATTATAACTCTTTCACTTTACTTCACCCCTCTCTTTAATGAAGTTACTTCTTTGAAACTCCAAGAATCTAAAATAAAAAATAATGGTTATTTACAAGTACTTCAGGATCCAGTTCAAAAGAAAAGAAAGACAATGCAGGTTTGTGTCAGTGACATCTCTTAACCATGATTTCTGTGGAACTAAACTTGTACAACGGCAAAGCCAAACGGGGTATCCTTGAATTTGTACTTCCTATATGAAACTGCTAAAGAGATGAGCAGGCCCTTTGCATTCCAAGTAAATCCACATTGCTATATCATGAAGTCATATCACATATGCAACAGATCTTTGGAAGAATTCTTGCTTTGCTTTGTCCAGAAAAATGGTTCCAAATTAAATCCTGATGATAGCAAAAGCAGCTCCTTTATTTTCAGCTATTACCCAGGAAAATTCCTTTCACAGGACAGTGACGGCCAGAGCCTCAATGACAGAATGAGACCAGATTAGAAGGAAAAGGGATGACACGTAGAAGAAAGCATCCCTTCAAGAGTTCAGATATAAACACTTCATGTATGATCCTGAGCTCAAGCAGGAAATGCTAATAGCTTACTGCTTAAGTGATTTTTAATTTTTTTTTTACATTATGAAAGAATCACCATGAGTAATACAGGAAAAAAAAAAGTGTTTGCTCTGGAATGCAGTGGTACCAAATAACTCTCTAGCAAAAACACAGAGAAGGATGAAAAATATCTTACATACTTTTGCCTTTTAAGGGCTATAAAAGTTGCACCAGTATGATATGGTACTGTACTTTCATTTAAATCATATCTACATAATACTTAAATTGACGTAAAAATTTCCAACAAGTTTACTGAAAGCATGGTCAATACTGTACTTGGGAGCTTCTATAAATAGATTACAATCATGCAGTTTAAGGCCAGATTTTGGAATGTGAAACACACGGTTATGTCACCAAGCACAGGTCATTGTCTTGCTCCTTCCAGCAAGAATGCAGCTATCAAGAACATTTCATGCTCAAATCAACTGTGCATTAAAGTATCACTTGCTTTCAACACCCACTAAATAAAAATAGAAGGGCACAACAGAGAAAGCTAAAAAAGCACACAGTAATTTTGTAATGTATTTTTAAGCTGCTGTCCCTCCCCTTCTATTTCCCATACAATCTATGTCAATGCAAATTTCAGCACAACCTCAGCAAAGCCAGAATTTAATCCATGGAGTTCATTCAAGAATTTTAACAGGAAGGTAAAATACAAGCTCAGTGGCCACAACTACAAAAAATAAAAAAGATTACAAGGAAGAATACTCTGTCTGAATCCTACCATCTGGTTTGTCTCCATTAACTCCCCGACCTCAAAGGCAGACATTTGTGCCAAATTTTGTTTAAATGGTGTTTCACACTCACTCATTCTCTGTCTCAGATTTCAGCATCGGTATAGAACAGAGCAACAAAGCCTACTTAGGAAAATACTACGTGGACACTTAAAATAATGCTATATAGAATCAGTTCTGAATATTAACTCAGAATATCCACCTCCTCAAAGTTTTTCTCAGTATTTTCCATTTCTCAACCACCTACATATTAAGGTTTTAAAGATTTTCTTATTTTCAGTTGGTCAATACATACTCTAAACCATATATAGGAGCAAACTTGAAATGTCAATGATGGTGGAAAAATCTTTCTCTTAAGAGGCAGCCTTTGCCCTTTGAGACTTTGAAAAAGGTCAGCATAAGCTGTTTAATACTATCCAGTGTAGTACATAACCTGCTTAAACATTTCAACTTCCTTTTTCTCCCTTTCATGCTTTGGATAACAGGGCTTTCAACACTGAAAGGAAACTCCTGGAAGCATCACTTGTTTAAAAATTATAAAATCCATATTTTAAAAAAAAAACCTATAAATCTATCTTCTGAAACTGCACAGAGTTTAAGCTGCATAGATCTAAGAAAAATGGGAAGGTATGGTGTTATTTCCCACATGCCACACCAGCTAACACAAAAGTCAAATTTCTAAAATTTGTAATAATGAACCTATGTTTGTTGAAGTGCATGTTAATTCCTGCAACTTGCACAGAGAGGTATAGGGATATGTAAAAAAAGGGACACTGTTGTGTGGGTGCAGACAAAAATTTTTGAAACTCTCATAAATTACTTCATCCATCCAAATGCCTAAACAGACACTGGCAGACCAGTTTTAATATTTAACAACAGGGTATAAGCACTCTGAGAGGCACAAGTGCACTCTATCCTATACTGCAGAGTAACAGAAGATCCCACTATGCCCAAGCAAGTTGTAACTCAGCAATTTGCAACTCAACAATGCAACCTTGGCAAACTCTGCTGCATTGCTGACAAACTATGATGATGTATGTGAGAAACTATTTGATGTCTGGCAACAAACTTAAAGAAGTCACTGCAGCTTATGACAGTGCAAAATGCTTGCTAGATATGCACTGCAGCCCTGGTTCCCCATGCTCCAGGATTGTTAACAGATTCCTGTTAACAATCCATTCAATATCTCTCCACTTTTACAAATCTCTCTGGTTATAATTTTCTGAAGAATTTTAGAACTTACTGCTATTACAGTAATGTATATTTTCCCTTGGTTTATCTAATAGGTTTATTAACCTCTCAAAAAAATAATTTAAATTGATTTAATCTCTGCTTAACTGACAGTTTATTTCATATTTTGTGGCAATCTAAGAAGACAACTGACTAATAGGTTCTAATTGAATATGAAAAAAGGCTGCACCAGTCTGAACAAAGTGCATTCAGAAGATCTGATTTCTATGCAAATGCTTATTAAAATTCTGCAGTCAGTGTCGAACAGTACGGATGACTAATCCTCTACAGGTGACTAACTCAGTAAATACTATGTTCATGTTGATAACAATTATCATATCAATTAACATTTAACAAGCAGAGCTCTCAAAACCAAAAAAAATCATGATATATTTAACTACTGACAGAAGCAGAAGAAAGCATAATGAAAAATTAAAATTATAGGATACTTTGAATAGTTCTGTTAACCAGCTCAAGTTTCTGAAGCAGTGATCAGTTATTAGTCTCCTCTTTGTTGATCTGTGAAACAGCTCTGCAATAACATCCCACAGGGATCAGCTTTCTGGTTCAAGATCTCTTGAAAACTACACCATCTAGTCACACAAGAGTCCTGGTTCACGAAAGGAAAATCAGATTGTGCCAAATTCACTATAACTCATGTCTGCATTAGTAGCAGCCCACATGCAGTGAGATTCTCTTTCAGGTGCTCCTCCTTGCTCTTCCACATAGGATTCCGTATGCTTACACAACTTGTAAGGGTTGCTGAGCAGACCTTTGAAAAAAGGCACTTTTTTTGTGCAAGATATGTTAATAGAAGTGTTAAATCTGAAAACATATCCCAGTTGCTCGCTCAAGTACTCAAGGCTGCTGGTTGTACTCTGTCTATACTGACAATGTATTTGTATCAGAAGATTCTACACTATCAGCATTTCTGAATCAGCTTCACGAACCTGTTGGACCAAGGCCAAAGGAGGCCACAAGGACAATTCAAGAGCTGGAGCAGCACCTCTGCTATGGAGACAGGCTGGGACAGCTGAAGTTGTTCAGCCTGGAGAAGTGAAAACTCTGGGTAGACCTCACAGCATCTTCCCGTACATAAAGGGGCTAAAAGAGAACTGGAGAGGGACTTTTCATAAGGGCATGCAGTGTTAGGACAAGAGGAAATGGCTTCAAACTGACAGAGGGCAGATTTACATTAGAAATTAGTAAGAAATTCTTGACTGTGATGATGGTGAGGAACTGGCACAGGTTTCCCAGGAAAGCTGTGGATGCCCCATCCCTAGAATTGTTCAAGACCAAGCTGTACGAGACTTTGAGCAACCTGGTCTAGTGGAAGATGTCCCTGCCCAGGGAAGGAGAGTAAGAAAAATGGTCTTTGAAGTCTCCTCCAACCCAAACCATTCTGTAATTCTATGTCTCCTTATATTTCAGTGTATTTTCCTCCCTCATAACTGACAGAATATTTTTACCAATGCTTTCACACCAGTAAAATGTTATTAAACTCACAAAGTGCCTCTAATTTCAAGATACTAGAAGTAAATCATGCTCCTTCCTCACCCTGCTTATGTGCAGATTAAAGAAATCCCAATACTGGAAGTCAATTTTTCATGTCTGAGATACCAACCTAAGGGGTTTATGCCACATCAAAGCATTGTTCTGTCATTGTTAATAAACTAGCATCTGCAACTTCTAAATTAGACTGAAATGGAAACATAAGAAAATTGTGTTTCAACTCACAGTCAGTAACAGCTGAAAACATGGCAGCTATGGGATGCCAGGCTCAGGTGTGTGCTAGGTGAATTGGGAAAGAAAGCTACTTAAGTCCTCAGGTGATTCTTCCATCCTATTATCCAAAGATTTATTTTACCTACTGATGCTTGCTAGATTTGTGCTGAGATATTTCTCTCCTACCTGACTCAATAGTGATCTTGAGCCTAATGATTTTGTGTCACCTAAACAAGAAGAAACAGGTCCCCAACTAAAATTATTTTTATTTCCTAAACTCAAATATTTACAAGTGGTTGGACATGTCTGTATAGTCAAGGAAAGGAACTTTCAGGCAATGCTTGCTTCCTGTAAAATGTACCTGCTTCTTAAGTCATCCTGGCTTAAAGCACTGGCCTAACAAAAAGCAATCATAACTTCCTTCTGTGTTTGGATCCAGTAACTACATAACTTGATACAAAAGAATTTTTCTTCCATCAAGTAACATTTCAGGATCCAAAGCAGAACTGCAGTTACCATTTGCAATAGAAACTATTGTGGTTTAGACTCAGTTTTACAGTAAATCCTTACTTCTTCTATCTCAGATCAATACCAAAACAGGAAAATATTTAGCAAACAGTCACACGAGTAAATATGGTATGTTAAAGCTCAACTGATACAGTACTTGAACTTCCAAAGACCACATCCCACGGAGAGCTGATGGGCTGTTCTTCTCCCTTTGCTCCACCTTCCTTATCAACACCTTGTACCCCAATGCCTGCTACAGTGGTCACCATCTGCAACTCCAGGTCAATCTAAGTGAAGCAAAATGACACATTAAATGAACATATGAAATTAACTTGACCAAAACTGCAGGTAACTTGAGATAGATGTCCAAACCAGAGAAATCCTAACAAATATCAGGCATTTGGTTTTTAGGGGAATAATCAATTTTACCACAATGCTTGTTGAGAGACAGGGAGTATGGGTGTAGGGAAGCAGCAGACAGCATGAAAACCATGTTATGTGGAACTCTATTCCTTGTACAACAAAATTAACACTGCTCTGTCAGCATTTGCTCAACAGCTGTAGAAGAAAGCATCACAATTTTCTGGATAAATACCTAGATAAATAATAGATGTATTTTTTTATTTTAAACTCATATAAGAATATGTTCTAAAAACTCACATACTGTCAAAGTATTTCCCATCTCCATATAAAACAATCTGTACAAAGGAACTTCAGATGCATTAAGGGTGCACCTCCTCTGATCACAAATGGGATACTGGTGAGGACCCGAGTCCAAGATCTTCTGAGATACACACAACACTTTGAATAATAAGGCAATATTACATTGCATCACCAAACTAAACTTCTGATTATCCTGAATTTGACCTAACCTAATGTAAGATCCAATTCCTACATGCTAAAACTTTACAAGTGTTTAATCAAAAAGAATACACATGCAGCCAATTCTGGTATCAGGGCAGTTACCTGAATTTGAGAGGCCCAGACAGCCAACGGAAGTTTGGATATTCACTGCACCACAGCACTACAATAACTTTAGATAAGAATCTGATACTACTGGAAGTGAAACAAAACCAGTTTTTGCTTCCAGTACTAAGAATAGATATTTCTCAAAACAGGAAAGTAAGAGTGACTAGGAAAAAAAAAACAAACCAAAACCCTGTTATGCTATAAGGAGTAGCCCACCTCATCTGCATATGAAAGGAAGCACAAAAGCATATGCAGCCCTTAAAAAAACCCTGCACAAGCACATTTCTTTACAAGATTGTGGACCAAATTTCCTTTCTGACATTATTTGGAGAGTAATTCATGTGGTGTACATTTTCACCTGTATAAGTAAAATACAGTTGAAGAATCAAACTTTGAATTTCATTATGGAAAAATTACCTTTCTAATTAGGTGATTTTCTGTATCGGCTACATAAATAACATTATTTTTTATAGCGATCCCTTGTGGTGAGTTGAAAGCCGCCTCTGAAAATCTTCCATCTCTCCTTCCACTGTTTGGACCTACAAGTAAAACATATCAAAGTCAAAATTTTTGAAAAAAGTCACCTTAAAAATAAAGTGCATACATTTAAATCTCTAGAAGAATTACATATTCCAAGAGCTGCTTTCACAGCACCTTGTACATTTTACATTAATACTATTTGGTGTAGTCTCATTTTAGTCACTGTGCTATGTAATCAAAATAGCCTGGTGCTATTAAATTCTGAACTCATTCTGCATCAAGTTCTCTGCTTTTTTAAGCTCATATTTTAAGGATAGGTCTTACTAGGGTTCTAAATTGTTCTAGAGGAGTCCTAATAGGGTTCTAAATTGCACTAAAAGACAACGACAACAATGCAAGACAAAAAATTACAGTTTCTTTTTATTCTTGACTACATCAAAGCAAGGCAGCAGGAAAAAAAAAATTCAAAAGTTCAACTCCACTGCATTGATTTAGATTTTGGTGTAATCACAGATGAAACTAAGATTTGATTATAAACATTTTCTCATTAAGAAAACTAATTAGGAAAAAGATGATATGGGACTCATTACACAAAACACTACGAATGGAGTGACAGCCTTCTGCATACAACAGTCTGGAAATAGGAACATAACAGTTTGAAGGTAAGCACTGTACTTCAAAGCAGGTAGCATTTAAAGTGCATCAGCAGGGTATGGCAGCAGAAGATATTTAGGTATGAGTTATGTGTGTACCATGATTTATGATGCAAATAACAATTTCAACCTTTGTGCATGCCCACATTTATTACCGCATTATCAACTTCATTACATTATTTTCTGCCCACTGAATCATTTAACTGAGTCACTGAAATACAAAAACTTTTACAACCTCCTGTCAAGAATCAATTTAGACCTCGTCAGACACAACGGATTGAAGTACTGGTGTGTCAGATTCCAGCAGCTCACCTCATAAGTGAGAGGGTGCACATGCCCAGGGAAGGGAATAGCACACAATGCCACAGGAAGGAGAGTACCACTGGGACTTAGGACACTCCTGAATTCCTGTTTAATGACTGTCCCAGAACACTAAAGGGCAGCTTGTAGGCAGAGACTTCCTCTCACATATCAAGCAGAAACCAAATTCTCTCATATTTGTCATAAGAAATTCTGTTTTCATATCCATATAGGAGAAAGGTATTTAGATTAATGCCTTAATGATAAATCAGATTTACTTGAATAGCCTAACCAATGCAGTATCACTTCAAATAGCAAGAGAATTTTTCCTCCTTTTTTTAAACAGAAGAGTATTTTTATGAGATTTTTAGGATCCTGCCCTGGGGCAAGCATTAGTTGATTCCAGACTAACTAATATAGGACACATCAGCACAGAGGTCATGATTCTGAGACATAAACAAGCCATTGTTTTCAATAATTTGAGGATTCGACCATTTCCTAAATTTGTCTATTATGGTTGTCCTAACAGTTACATACTTGCTGCACAAAGATGTAACTGACCATTTTAATAGGTTTAAAAAAAGAACAATTTCACTTGTGAAACAGTAAAGCATACAGAGTGTGCAAATTGTCTTTGTCTGCATTATAAAGTACATTGTTATTTCACAAAAGCAACTATGGATGTTAGAATTGTTTTTGTCTGCATTATAAAGTACATTGTTATTTCACAAAAGCAACTATGGATGTTAGCTTTCTAAAGCTGAAATGTTACTTATATAAACTTTGCAATAAATATAACTAAATTTAAAACATTTTCACTATTTTCATAGCTTGTTTCTATTATCATCTCCATTTTGACAAGAACACAGGTCTTTTTATATGTACTAAGGCAACTGCATTTTCAGATTCCTGTGTACTTACTGGAATGCCACTGCTCTTAGTAATTCTCCTCTCTGGTTTTGAAACCAGAGATCCTAAACAGGAATGCTCTTCCACTGAAAAAACTCAATAACCAAACAAAAAACACACATGAAAAACCTCTCCTCACAACTCCACCACAACAATTCAAGGTTCACTTCTATTGGAAAGGGAGGCATTATAGTCTGGTCTTTTCCCTACCTTGATGCTTAATGTGGATGTACATCCTTTACACCTAAACCCATTTGCAACTCCTTCAGAGGAATACAAAACGCATTTTTGTAATTCATATTGGACATCACATGAAAACATGAACTTTAGTCAATGAAGCAATGAAAAATAATTAGGCATCTCCAACTATTGCATTAACAGTCTCCCACTGATGGTCTTACATCATATCCTCTCACACAGAGTAAAAGTGATTTTAGTGCAAAACAATATTCTGGCAATGCCTACAGACTGCCAGGTCCTGTAGGAAAAGAATCAGCCCAGGAGGCACAGCAAACATACTCTACTCCTAAAATGAAATTGCTATAAAAAACTTACATATACATCCTTACCTCCAATAGTGTGTAAAATTTGTCCATTTTTATGAGTAACCAAAATCCTGTGATGTCCAGTGTCTGCTATGACCAACCTTTCTCCTGAATTGTCTACAGTCACTTTGCCAGGAAACAGCAGAGGAGAAGGTGGAAGGGAGTCTCTGTAGAGCTTTATTCCGATGTTGTTATCTTTGATTTGTCCTCTTTCCTTGTAGAATTTCAGTGTTATAGAAGTAAATAAGAACAATTTCTCTCTGTGTCCCTCTCCAACAAGAGAAAACAGCATATTTCCACGAGGCCCAAGAATGACCAGAGTTGGCCAGCAGGACACTTCTAGATCATGCCACAGTGTTGCATCCGCATCATTTACTACAGGGTGGACGATATTGTATCTTAGAATGGCACTTTTAATGTTATCCAGAACTTTTTCATTTGGGAATTTTGCTGAATGGACACCAACAATAACCAGACCATCTGCAAAGAAAAAAGGAAGTTGTGCACTGAAATATACGTGAATAATAAGCAAATAAATTAATGAATAAATTCCTTTTTTAAAAAAAATGGAAAAATCCAGTTATCTCATAATCTGACTGACTGCTTCCAAGAATGAGAGAGGACTTGAACAAACAGAAAGCAATTACATCTCAGTAAGAATATAAACAGTTATGTATAGAAAATCCTGAAACTCAGAAATAGCACTTAGGTAAAATTACCAAATTTTAGGACCCTTACTTCCCCAGCTGGCTGACATGAATTGTTCTCAGTTCCTGAACCTCTACATACTAAGCTAGAAAACACTTTAAAAATAAATGTGGGTAAGTTGTTGCTGTTCAACTGACAGTTTGGAGTTTTTTTAATGATACTTAGGACACCTCTTTGTTTTCTGATTCCTATATACAACCCTGATGTTTTAGCAAATTCTTTTTCACAGTTAACTAGAAGCCAAAACTAACAGCAATTGTGAAATTCCAGAAATTCCTGGACATACCTACTCCTAGATAAACAGTAAAAGATATTATGAATAGGCCTCTGAAATCAATACAGTATTCTGTATTTCAAATAAAAATGGCAGCACTGACAACTAGGACAAAATGACAAACAACAGTCATTTCAAACAAGGCAGGTTTGAATATAACCTATTCATTAGGTTATATTTCAATTGTGAAATATAAAAATTTCACAATTAAAACGTCTGATAACTGATACAGCCTGTTGGAGCAGAACATTGCAGTACTAGACAGATGAAGTTGTACAACCATTAACTTCTGAAAACCAAACAGCAGGTCAAATATTTTAACTGTAAAGGGATCAGTGCCAGAGCTTGTATCTGTCCTTCAAAAACATCATTAAAGCTAGAAAGACAATTCTATAGTGAACACCTCAACAGCACAAGTAAGGTACAACATTCCCTCATGAGGAAAACTCCTGTGGAAATGATGGATGCTATGCTCAGAAATAACAATATGCACTCCATTTAAAACACTTTGTTTGAAGGATTACAGCAGAGCACAACACTGGATTTATGCCAAGCTATTTCTGAATATTAAAAAGTACTTCCTCTTATAGAAGTAATTTCTGGACTGCTGATAACATGAACTGAATATGCACTGGGGTTTAAAATAACTTTCTGAATGCCACTTGAAACACAGAAATAGCACCACTGAAGATAGCAGTGAGAGTGTATCAGATAAAGATGCTGGGCGACATTCAATCCTATGGAAAGCAGTCTTCATTCTGCAACAGATCTCCTGAAGTTCCAGACAATAGAACTATGGGACATGTACTATAATATTTATAATTATTTATGATCATTAGCTTCTTATAATGTTAGCTGTAAACTTCTACTGTCTGCTGATCACACAGCTGAAGTTTCAACATGCTCCATGTAAGGGCATTTGAACCACATTAAAAAAAAAAGCCATCAAAGCATGTATGAACAGAGTATGTATGTACACAATGTACAGCCAGCTAGATCAAGGTTTGTTCTTGTAACTGAGGAAAAATAGGCAATATACCTTAAAGTATTCAAATGAGACTGGAGATCCAAATGCATTACGAGAGAGATGCTTTACCCAAGCAAGATGTTTTATTTTCAAACTTTTATCTTTCTCAACCTTCTCAAGTGAACAACTCTCCCCTCCCCTTTCTGCTAGTAATTAGTAAATCTTGTTTACCTTGGGTGAAGAAGATGCACACTGATATAAGACCACGTATTGAAGAATTTTCTATGGCTTAAAAACCTGCTACCCTTCCTGCCTCATATATTTATATACATTACAGTAATGTTAAGATTTAGACATGTAGCACAGCGAAGAGAGATTAAATAATCCTGAAAGGGCTGACAATCAAGACATTAAAACAGCAGAAAAGAACCAAAAGGAAGATCTACAGTGAAAAAACCCAATGTATTTTTCTTTTTGTTTGAACTATCAAGCACCTTAATCTCTTCCTAAATCCAACTGCTATCCTCTGCCTTCTAATGGTTTAAATTTATGATTAATGCTTCATACACCTGTTCTTCTTTCTTTTTACCTCTACTCTCACCCCAAACATCTCTTTTCTCACTCTAGTTTCAACAGGATAACTGAAATAAAAAAAGAAAACTTACAGGGGTAATTAAAATACAAAAATAATTTATCACCCATCAGCAAAGTAGTAATTCCTGTCACGAAAGTTTAATACAAGTCAAAGGAAAATATATGTCTCCAAGCAGACCTTTAGTTCAGAGTGCTGCAGCCTCTTCTACACCAGTATAGAGATATTAAAGCACTTTTAGGAGCAAGCTTGTGGGGAGAGGTTGTTAAAGTGAGCATTTTGTTATCAGCTGATTTAATAACTTAGCATTAAAAAACAGATTAAGGATATGACAGCTATCTTATTACACTCAAGTACATTACAAAACAGTTAACATTTAAAGGTATTATTCATTTTATGCCAATTTAATCTTCCACAATCTGTATCTAGACCTTCTTCCCAACATGTTTGATTCACAGCAATCCCCTTATCATTTGCCATTCACCTTCCACGTAAAACTGACCCACTCCCAAAAATTGCCACTAAGTTTTTATCCTTATAAGACAAAGTTCCTATTATTTGAAACATTACACTGCATCTCTAATTTCTCCAAAGCAAACATCTAAGCTTTCTGAGGTAGAAAAATTAGTTTGAATCTTCAGGGAAGTACTAAGTAAGCTATCTAAAGCACTATGCAAATTTCAAAGATTTTGCAATTTCTTTCTCTAGTGAAAAAGGTAACACATGAAGATAAACACTACCAAAATAAAAACCAATCAGAAACAGCAATGGGGAATCAAACATTATAATGTTATTTAAACATATATATTGTATTTAATACAATATTTTATGACTGAAACTAACACTGTTCATCTTCCTGTTCAGTCTATTAAAATATCCCAGATAAGTGAGTAGCTGACAGACTCTGTGTAAGACTACAGCTAATCTCTGACAGGCCATCATGAAAAGAGACTGCATTCTAAATAGAAATTATTTTTATTTCATGCATTTGTATTCAGTCAGAGTGAGACAGATTTCATTTCAGATGTGACTTTAAAGACCATAATTGCCTCTCTAGAATACAGGGATATTAATGGTACACAGCACGATACCAATACCAAAAAAAATCTGCATCAAGCTTAAATATTTTGTTATTTCAGTTCAAATAAAAAAAATAAATATCTATATCCTATTCTACCACCTGTCTATAGCCATTCAACCACCTTTACTATATTTTTCTCAGAGCTGGTTCTTCAGTCAAAGGTAGAAAATTACCTACTTATATTTATTTTGAGCCTGTGTCTCAAATTCTTGAATCCTGAACTTTTTGAAAGTTGCCTTATTTATAGAGGCATCAGGTTTGGGCTTCAAGCACATATCCTGTTCGTGTAATTACACAGACACAACTTTATTTAACCCCATTTAAAAATGTGATGGAAGTACACACAGTCACCTTTTTTAGGCTACTTAAAAGATTAGAAGACATTTTTAGACACCTTTGAAATACTGCCAGCAGTTTAGTAACCAGCAACAAAGTGACTCAGCTCCTCAGCCTGCAACAGTGCCAGGAAATTCTATTCCAAGCCAGCCAAAGCACTTTTACCTTTATCAGAGTACTGGTGCTCTAAGGCGTGGAGGTCAGGCAGCAGGTGCAAGCAATTGATGCAGCAGTAAGTGAAGAAATCCAACACCACAACTTTTCCACAAAGGTCTTTGTGAAGAGAAATAGGACCTTCAGTGTTTAACCATTGCAAATCTGGAATTCAGAGAACAGTGATAGCCAGTTAGGGGAAGGGTAGGGAAAGGCACCAACACCACACAATGCTCCTGGTACTTTTAACTTTAAAAAAATTAAAAAGAGTTTGACATCCCTTTTTATGCAAGTAGAAAAGCAAACAAAAAGTCTTTTATTTGCCCAACTCATCCTTATGTTCCGCAACTCTTCATAATTAGTAAATTAAAATATTATTAATAAGATTCACTGTAAAATGAAATTGTAGTTTGTATCTTTACACAAGCACTTTTTAACTGAAAGAACATGAAAGCCTCAGAACAAATTTCATACATTTTAAAATATGACCTACATTATTCAACCCCCAACAACACTATTTGGGTAACAATCAATTATTTAAAATATAAAGGCTACTAAAAGTTTAGAAGTGTTTTAATGATTTTTTCCAATAGTTTTGGAAAGAACTGATTTCAGAGATCATTGGAATATTCTTGTGCTTATAGCTTTGACTGTGATTTTCAAAGTTTGAAATGACGGGTATCAATTCTGTCACATGGGAAGAAATACAACTTTTTCAGATATGCACAACAGTACTCATGGTCATTTATTTTAACTACTTGATGTAAGACAGAAAAACATTCTTTCCTCCTCTGATCCCATCAAAGTTATCAAGATAAGGAATAAATATCCTAGAATGTGGTGTGCCAGTATTATCTCCGAACATTTCTGAAAACTGTAGAGGGAAAAGATAGTTATGATAAAATGCAAAGCTAACTAGTTTTTGAACTTTCACTTTGACAGTTTCAGAAAATAAGTTCTTAAGGCTCCAGAAGTTATTCCAACTCAAGTCAGCAGGAGGCTTGTTTTGTGTTTCACTAAGAAGAGGACTGTTCTCTATCTCCATATATTTATAAACATAAATGGATGCATACTCATTTAGCTTTGATGAGAATAATGAGAATAATTCAAGCATATGCATTATTCCCCCAGCTTTTTCAAAAGGAAAGGGTAGCTTATATAATTCACAGCATTTCTCCCCTTTCACTAGAACTAAAATACCTTTCATAGATGTTGAGCTCTTTTTAGAGGAGAAAATAAGGCTTGACAGAACACTGAAACAATACTAATGGAAAAAGCTAAAATTCAACTCAGGGCCCCAAATCTAGACAGAGAGAGCATTCCTTTTGCTCCACTGGTTAAAAACCATAATTTATTCCCAAGATAAGTGTGATTTTAACCCTTAAGTTCACCTCCTGAGGTCTCTGTCTTGCAGTATGATGTGAGCTCCCACAGCTGCAAAGGAACCTCTCAAAGGTTAAAAGACCCTGAGCAGGACTTGCAAGGCTTAACCTGTGATTTCCCCTTGGCACAAGAAGAGACGTGGAAATGTGGGAAACGACCGCAGGAGGACAAATGACCTCTCCAGCAGAGTTTGTATTACCAGGGACATGAAAATTGTCAAGCGCGGCCTGTCATAGGGACAGAGAGTTGGGGAACATCCTAAAGGATGCTCCGGGAAACCAAGAGAGCTCAGGAGAACGCAGGGAGAGTTAGCAAGGTTCTCACTATGACCAGAGGCGACAGATATAAATATATAGTACAGACTGGAGCAGATTTAGAATACAGGCTTTACACAAAGTGTTTTGGCAGCCAGTACCAGGGAGAGAATGTTTAAAGGGGCTCTTTTGCCTTGCCCTTCGCTCCTGGTGCTTCCAGGTGCGGCATTTCCTGTAGGTACAAGTGCCATTTAAACAGCAGCTCACGGGGCCGGCCCTGCCCGGTCCCCGCAGGCAGCGGCACCTCCAGGCAAAGCCCA